CGCCCCGAACTGAAACCGCTCCGCGGATTTGGGCTCGGCCGAAGGGTTTTATTCCCATTTTTCTCTTTTTTAAATGGAATTTTATTTATTTTTGACGCTTCCATCCCATTTCCCATCTTTTCCAGGTGCGGATGAATTGTCCTGGCGCGTTTATAAATCCGTGAAATGCTGGAAAAGCGGATTTTCCACCAGAAAAGAGATTTAGCCACCCGAAAATCCCATTTTTATGGAATTTTTATGGGATTTTCCCAAGACCTGTCCATATTTCTTCCCCTTTTCCTGGATATTTCTATTTATTTTATCCCRAATCTTCCCCTTTTTGCCCCTTTTTTCCTCGAGCCGCAATTTCCGATGGATTTGGGGTGAAATTGGGACGAAAAAAAAAACCTGGGATTTGTTTTTCCAACCTCCAGACCCCCCCAAATCCATTTAAGTTTCTTTTTTTCCCCCCTCACCAATTTTTTTTTTTTCCCAACCGGGAAAATTGGGATTATTTTGGCCTCGGGAGGGTTAAATTTCATTTTTTTCTGGGAAGAAAATCCCGAGTTGGGGTTGGGTCCTTTCCGGCCGTGAAATCGGGGCCGAAGCCGATAAATCAGATTTTTAGAATTTTTATTTTTAATCTGAATTTTTGGAGGAGTTTCGGGCGGGGATTTCGGGAATAAAAATCCCGATCCGGGCCGAGCTCAAAGCAGGAAAAAGATGAAATTYGGGGCGCAAAAAAAAGGGCGAAAATTGAAATTTTTCAGCGTCGCGACGGCGCCCGAGGGGAAGAGGAAAAAATGAGGAGCGTGGGAATAAAGGCGGGGAAAAAAGGGATAAAAATGGGGAAAAAGGGGTCAAAAAGGGATAAAAATGGGGAAAAGGGGGAAAAGGGGGAAAAAAGGGGGGGAAAGGGGAAAAAGGGAGAGTGGAAGAAAGGGATAAAAAAGGGATAAAAAAAGGCAAAAAGGGATAAAAAATGGATTTAAAAAGGGATAAAGAAGGGATTTAAAAAGGGATAAAAAGGGGAAAAAAGGGGATAAAAATGGGATTAAAAAGGGATAAAAGAGGATAAAGAAGGAATTAAAAAATGGATAAAGAAGGAATTAAAAAAGGGATAAAAAGGGGAAAAAAGGGATAAAAAAAGGGATAAAAAAGGGGGAAAAGGGCTAAAAAAAAGGGATAAAAAAGGGATTAAAAAAAGGATTAAAAAAAAGGACAAAAAGCGGCTGAAAGGCGCGGGAATTGCGCGCAAGAAGCGCCCGCTGGTCCCTCATTAGCATGGGAAGCCGCCCGCCTTTACTGCCGAGACAGTGACCTTGAACTGCGCCGCCTTCGCAGCCCCGCGCCCTCCCCCTCCGCCGCTTTTTTTTTTATTTTTATGACTTTGGCGCTGTTTTTTTATTATTTTCCGGCTTTTTTTYCCCTCCCCTCAGGCGGATTTTTCCCTCCCCAGCGGCGTTTTCTCGAAAAACGCGGAAAAAATCACAAAAAAGTCGCGTTTTCAAAGAGGCTTCGCCTAAAAAATGGGATTTTTCCCAGTGGGAAAAAGGGAATTCTTTGCTCCTCTGGGTTTTTTTGAGTTAAAAAAAAAGAGAATTAAAAAAGCAGAGTTTTTTTAAGGATTTGAGTGGGAATTGGGATTTTTTGTGGGGATTTTTAAGCGGCGCTCAGCTGAGCCGAGCGCTCCCAAAAGCTCGACCTGGGACGGAAAATGAGATTTTAATGGGAAAAAAATCCCCCCCTGGAAAAGCGGGAGAGCCGCTGAAGAGTCTTTAGCATTTAAATTTTTATTTTTATTTTCATCTTTATCTTTATTTTTATATTTATTTCTATTTTAGTTTTAGTTTTATTCCTATTTCACTTTTTATTTTTATTTTGAGCCCTTTTCCTCCCGTTCAGCCGCGAGTTCAAGGCCAAAGCTTCCAACATTCCCGGAGCTTTTCCCAGCTCGGAAAACCCAGGAAAAAATGGGAAAAAACCCCCAAAAAATAGAAAAATCAATTGTTTTTCTCACTTTGAAGCTGCCTCGCTCAACCCCGCAGCTGCCACGGCCAAAACGCGACTTTTGATTGAATCCTCGCCAAAAAAAATATTAAAAATAAAGAGGAAAAACCCTAAAAAAAAAACCCAAAACAAACCCAGGAAAATTCCCTTTCTCCGGTGGGGAACAAAGCCC